TCGATAATGCGATACGTAGTTCACATCATTTTATAAAAATGATGTTGGTGCCGCTAGCATACGGTGGCTTTCGCCTATCACGCGAAAAAGGCCGCCATGGCCTCTCTCAGGTTTCTCTCTCAAGGCGATGCTAAAGCTCCCTGTTTTACCACATTTCTATTCGGTGAAAAATCTCTGTATTGGATGTACGGATTGCAAAAGTATTATTACTTAAATTATAGTACGCATCAACAGGACCTCAGCTGCACTAGATTTTATGAGAAAATCGAAAAAAAATTAAAAATTCACTTACTTTTGGCTCGTACAGCTGTCACCTCAGATATGTATTTGCTTGATATAAGAGTTTTAGAGTCCATATCTTGAAAATAAGCGTGCAGCTGAGGTCACATTATTGAAACGAACGATACCGAATTTGTAGAACTAAGATTGAAAGTCTAGAAAAGCAATATTTCCACCGAATAGAAAATACGTGTATACTGATGCTTTGCGAAGACTGGGACTGTCAACAGAGCCGAAATTCCGTGTAGTAGTAGTTGCGCGGTCTTGCGATAGATGGTGCTGGCATATGTTAGATAAGAACAGACGTATGCGTTTGAGTAAGACAGAATGATATATATTATATAATATAATGTAAAAACTAAATCAAAGATGTCACCACTATTATCGAATTTGGAATTAAAAGAGTCTGTACTATCGACCTTGATTGAGTTGGGTAATCGGTTTAGCATGCCCTTAAGCGACATTTTCGAATTTCGATATTGGCTGTATCGACGCTGTACGTGATTGAGGCCATTCACTTCAAGAATTAGAATCATATATGAGCGGATGATCGAATAAATTATTAAAATTGAAAATTTTTGTGAGACTCTTAGGGGTTTTTGCATGAAACGAAAGAATCTGGCAAAAAAATCGTCGTTCTGCCTTGTAATCTGGTTTTGGAATTAAAAGAGTCTGTACTATCGACCTTGATTGAGTTGGGTAATCGGTTTAGCATCCCCTTAAGGGTACCGTTACATGCGGCGTAACCTGCGTAAGCATAAGCTTTGATGACTATTGAGGTTAAGAAATCTGTCACAGAGGCAAAATGAGGTCTATAATTGTACTGTTTCACATGGGTTTCGACTTTTCACGCGATGCAAATAAGGGGCGCACGACTTCTATAATTGTACTTTATTTTTTATTTACTAGAATACGCCATTCTGAAAGCCGGCATTCACATTGGGCGTATTTCGCGAAAGATTAGAGGAATGCGGAACTAATACAACCAATTGCTGATTAGAATTTCTGTTGTACACTCTAAAGAAATGCTAAACGAATTTACGAATGGTTTTCGTAACCTACGCATCTCGAAAAGTACGCCTCATGGGAAACCGGCACCTTTCCATCGCATATATATGAGCGGACATTCTGTTCTCGTCTGCCGACGTGATTGGACGTGTTATTGCGTCATCATTTTTGGAAAGTGTGACCGGCTTCAAACGTTGATGTTCAAGTGAAATGATATGATTGGTTGGCGCAAG